TCTTGCTTTGCTTCGCCCACTCTCCCCACGGAGGGGCAGGCGCCACCCGCGGCTGTCGGCTGCTCCCGCCCAGAGACGCGCAGAGCGGACGGTTCTTCGTGCGCCGCGCAGAGGAGGCGGCGGGTGGGCGGGGCGACAGCACGCTGAGGTGCCGCCAATAAAAAGTGAGCGCTGCGTGGACAATGAGGGGGACGTATTGGGGTGGAGCGAACATATATCTTTTTGTTTTTCCTTTTTGTTTTTGTTTTTGTTTTCTGGAGGCGGAAATGCACGCGGCGCGGTGTTGGCGTGCGTGGCCAGCCGCATTTGTCTGCCTGCATCGCCTTCCGTTTTAATTGGTTTTGCTCTTCCGTAAGTCTTCTTTTTTGCTCGCTTTGTTTCTGCACGGCGATCGTGCGACTCACCGCGGGCTGGACCGCGACGCCGTGCCCGGTGTGGCTGCCGTGCTGCTTCCCTCCTGCCTCCTTCGCTGCGTGCGGGCGTGGCTGGTGATGTGCCTCTCTCTCTTTCCTTTCCTTTTCTCTCTCTGTGTGCCTGTCTTTGGGTGCCGTCTGCCGCGGGCATGCCGTGCGCCCCGGCGTGTTCGCCTTCTTTTTGTCGACTGCAGCGGCGTGGTGTGGAGGGCGGGCGGGGGCCTCTTTTTTTATGTGGCTGCGCTCGCCGTGGGGATGTTTTGCGTTGCCCCAGCCGCGCTGGGAGGGGCTTGTCGATTCCCCCGCGTGTTTGTTTGGGCGCCTGCAGCGGCGCCGGGGGGCAAAATGCGGGGCCCCAAACGCTGCTGCTCTGCCGCGTGTTTCTGCGGAGTGAACTCGTGCGGCTCGGCGCACTGGCGGGTTGGCGGTTGGGCCGACTGCGGGGACCGTGGCGGCTGCGGCAGCCCGTGCCCGTGCCCTGCTGATTAGTTGCGGTGCTCGGCGGCGGATGCATGCGGGCCGCTCGGGGCACGTGTTTGTTTTTTGCCCGGCAAGTTTGTTTGTTGCGTTGCCCGCCACGCGGCGGCGGTGCTGGCGCCCCGCACGAAGAGGAGCCCGCAGCTGCCGCCCCGCAGGAAAAGACGCGGGCCGCGGCACGCCCCGCCGGCCGGACGCGCGGCTTCCCCGCGGGCACCGTCACCCGCACCTTCGCGTGGCGGCGGGGGCACTTGGCTGCTCAACCGTCGCTGTGGGCTTCTCGTGCGGGCGCCGGACCGTCGCCTCCACCGCTCCCCGCATGCGTGGTCTGCGCTGCCCCCCACTGCCGCGCCCAAACCCATCGCCGCCGTCGTTGCTTTTTTCTCTCCACACTTATGTTCGCACACACACACACGCACACACGCCGAAGGAAAGAGACCAGTCACTACTCTGCGCTTTGAGGGCTCTGCAGTTGCCGCCAGCAACACATCACACACACACACACACACACACACACACTGAAGTGCCGCCTCTGCTGTCAGGGCACACACCACACACGCGTATACGGCAGTCTTGGCCCGAACGGATTCACCGCAAGGAGGGAAGGAAGAGAAAGAGAGGCGCAACATGTCCTGGCATCTGCTTTCTGCCGCGGTGCTGCTGCTGCTTCTCGTGGCGTTGATTTCTTGCGGCAGCTGTGAGGCGGCGGCGGTTGCTGCGGGGAGTGGGCCACAATCGGCACAACAACCGCCATCGACAGTTGTGCTGTTTCAAAAAACGGAAGATCCGCAGTCGAGTGGAGTTCCAGCTTTGGCCGGTCTGACTGAGAGGAAAAAAGTGTACGGATTCGCCGGTCACTCCCTTGTGCATGCGGGTGGAGTGACGGTGGCCCTTGCCAAGGCCCGCTACGGCCCTGGCCTCATTTCCGACGTTGGGATTTGGGCGACGTGCATCAGCTGCAGCGGCGGGAGCAGCGGCTGCACTCCGCTGGCTACTGTTGCTGATGCTGCTGGAAGTGGATGTCAGTGGGCTAAGGCGGTGCCTAACGGCGGCGAAGGGCAGAGCGGCCCTCTTGTCTTCCGCTACGGCCCCAGGGCGGTTGT